GCCTTGACGTACTCCTTTCCTGATTTGGAACCAGTCTGTTGTTCCATATCCAGTTCTAACTGTTGCTTCTTGACCTGCGTACAGATTTCTCAGGAGGCAGGTCAGGTGGTCTGGTATTCCCATCTCTTTCAGAATTTTCCAGTTTGTTGTGATCCACACAGTCAAAGTACATCAGTAAGCAAACTAAATAACAAGCAGAGGTAATAAATAGTCACACTCTGCTGCTGCTGCTGCTGCTGAGTCACGTCAGTCGTGTCCGACTCTGTGTGACCCCATAGACAGCAGCCCCCCAGGCTCCCCGTCCCTGGGATTCTCCAGGCAAGAACACTGGAGCGGGTTGCCACTGCCTCCTCCAGGGGATCCTCTGACCCCAGGGTCAAACCTCCATCTCCTGCACTGCTGGCGCTTCTTCACCGCTGATCCCCGGGAGAGCAGTTAACTCTACCACCAGGCTGTACACACCTCAGGGTGTGGGGAGTTTTCAGTGAGCTACGGAGATCTAATGCCCACATGGTCACCGCTGCCAACAAGACTGTGTCATTCACTCAGAGTCGCTAAGAAACCAGATCTTAAATGTTATCCCTCCAAGGAATGGTCACTTCATAATGAAAGGGGTGTAGGCTAACTCAGGTGGCAATCACAGCAATATAGAAACGATTCAAATAAGCAAGTCTCCAGTCAATTGTACCTCATTTTTTAAAATAAAATGTAACTTTATTTATGAGAGAAAGGTGCACACAGGAAACTCTGTGAAAAAGCACAAAGCAGGACTTTAATATTTCTTATTTTAACAAAACATGTTTAGTGAGAATAATTCTAAGTGTTCTGTAAACAGTACCTCATTTAATTCCAACAGTAACAAAATTAACATCAGTGACTTCCTAACGGTGCCTTAGGCGGTTTCTCCAGCTTTATGCAGACACAACCGACATTCAACTGATCTAAGTTTAAGCTGTGCACTGTGCACCTTATTTTCATTACAACTGCATTTTTAAAAAACTACAAATGACCTTTGAATAAGGTAGGTTTGGCTGCACATGTCTACTTGCATGCATATTTTTCTCAGTATTTCTCAATACTGGTAAAAATTTTTTGGAGACTTACAACTTAAAAGAGCTCACAGAAGAACCATGTAGCCTAGAAATACTGAAAAAAAATGTAAAAAGTGTGTCAAGAATGCAAAGGCATAAGGGAGCAACACTTTAGTTTTCTGTTCTGTAACTCTGCTTTCAAAGGATTACATATTCACACAGTACGTCTCTCCCCTCAGTATCAGTTCATCATCATAGGTAGGTGGGTTTTTTTTTAATGTGTTTCTAATACCGTATTATGAATGAGTACAACACTGTATGTCACAATGGATTCACTAGCGTATAGGCTAGGCGACCATAAAGAAACCATACTGCTCCCACTTCATTATAATGGATGCATTATACTTAAAAACCACCATGGATTTCTTCTTTACACCGTCTTTTCATTTTTCTTGGCCCATGTTACTAACACATCTACAGGATTTGAACGACTTCCAACCAGGAAGCGCATTACAAGGGGGAAAAGGAAACATTCCCACAGGGCTGGATGGGAGGGGGAGTGGGGAGTTACTGTTTAGTGGGTATAGAGTTTCAAGGTGGGAGGACAGAAATGTTCTGGAGATGACGGTGCTGATAAAACACACAACAATGTGAATGTAATACCCCTGAAGCATTCACTTAAAACAAGGTGCATTTTCTGTCAGGTAAAAAATAAGCTATGCTGAAATTCACAAATAAAAACATTTTTTAAAAGACACACCCACAATCATATGATTAATCGGACAGAGAGTTAACTTGTAGGATTTGAGCACATTTAACAGACCTGATGTAATGGGACATAAAACAGGGACCTGGAACTAACAACTATAAAACACCAAGCATACACCCACAAGATGGAGTAGACTTAAACAACATCTGAGACCACAAAGAAATAGCTGTGGTAACAAATGTTTTTTAAGAACGCTTTTGGGTCAAAAAAATTATAAGGATGTTAGGATATTCAGACGTACATGAACTACATATCAATTTCATCAACTGGCCAAAGTGAAATTAAGGACCCCAAATACATTACTAAAAGCTACAGACGTTAGAAGGTTAAGAACTCAAAACAGACATTTGCTCTTCTTTAGAATATAAAAATATTAATAGATATCTTTATCAAATAAAATCCCAGTTTTTTAAAATTACAAATTAGAAATAACTATATGGTTA